CAGTAGCAGTAGCAGTAGCAGTAGCAGTAGCAGTAGCAGTAGCAGTAGCAGTAGCAGTAGTAGTAGTAATAGTAGTAGTAGTAGTAGTAGTAGTAGTAGTAGTAGTATTGTTGTTGTTGTTATTGTTATTATTATTAAAGTCCGGAAGTTTGGCAAAATGTCTTCCTACTATTGTTCCGAATTTAAGTCTTTTAGCAATAGGAGTCACTTAATTGTACTTCTGGATTTGTTTTAGTAGATTTTTATTTTGTCTTTTTTGCCTACATTAGCTTCTGATGCATATGTCTAGTATTTTGCCTTATGACTTTCTCATCCCATATTTGTGTCTTCCCTGCCTTTTTGGTCATTATTTTCCCATTCCCCCCCTGGCAACGATCTTTGTCAAGCTGGAAACATACCTTCAAGCCTGGACAGCATGAAGGCACGGTCATGTATTGTCTTTCTTTGGAAGTAGTGGCTCCAGTGTCAGGTTGTGTTAAGAATATTAAAGGGAAAGGAAGATGATACCAATGAAGATTTTGGATATTTTTCATCTCATCAAATCTTTGCCTACGGCCTCGGATCCCTTTTGAGAACAAAGGTGTCCGTGCATGATATACTATCCTTGATTCCTTTTTATTCTCTCTTCTATTCTGGCAATTACACAAACATAAAACACGAAATCTATAATTCCGTTTTCACTTATACCATTTCAAGATTCAAAAGGGAGCCTACAATTGCATTTCTTAGAGACAGCGGCTAAAATACATTCGTAGTCATCAGACAGGTCAAGTACAATAAACATAACAAAGAAAAGGTAGTTTCCTTAAACATAAGTGCTATAAAATTATAGAGGTAAAATAAAAATGTGAATCATTTTAATTATTAATTTATTTATAATAATTACTTTCAAATAGTGATTTTTCAATTTTCGTCTTTTAACACCCCCTACTTAAGCCAGTAAATGCCTATTTTATATATCTATTGTACATGCCTATTTTGGTAAAATTAATGCCTTCTTGCCTGCTAATTTTAGGTAAAATAAGTGCCCGAACTTCCGAGCTCTAATTATTATTCACACCAAACTGGCTGAGACGGCTCAGGGCAGTACTCTTTCCACTGAAGACTTTCTGGGGAATCCTAAGGTCTGAGTCCCGAGAGTGACGGATTATAGACATTAGCTAGGTCGTAATTAGCACCTGTCTCGAGTGCTGCTCTGTTGTGTAGTTTTTAGTTTCTTTGATCAATACCAGGCGTATGCTTGAGCAGCGCAATAACAAAACGAATTGCATTGTATCAAAGTCCTACATTACTGTTAGACACGAACCGCATGCGAAATTTCTTTTCTCATTCTTGTCCAATTCTCTCCACTTACTTGCACTACACTTCGACTCATTTCGGGAAACCAATCGGGAGCTCAGAGCTCGTCCCGGTTTAATCAGCGCCCGATGAGGGGAGATATCAGGATCCCCGCACGACGGTTATGTCGACACCGGATCTCATGTCTTAGAGGAGGAGGAACACTGCCACCTTCCGGGAAATGACGGCTCTACACTTTCTGTACTAATGACCTTATCAGTTGCCGCGCCCGGAAACACGAAGCAATGTATACTGATGAGTCAAACGAAACTGGTTCAGTCATGCATATAGAAATAAAGAGATCTAGAATCAATCAGAATACGGCGCTCCGGTCAGCGACTATATAAGACGTCCAGAGTCTAGCACTGTTGTTAGATCGGTTACTGCTGCTTCACTGGCAGGTTATCACGATTTAAGTGAGTTTGAACGTGATGTTGTGAACATTGAAAATCAGAGATCAGGGAATCAGTTGATAATCTGCTAGAATGCTATGACATTGAATGTGACTTAACCGAACATTATCATAAAGCAGAGACGGTTCATACATGTTTCCTTAAGAAGAGGAAAGAAGTATATTAAATGAACTACTTTAAAAGATACATATAATAAATTAGATTACACGCATCAGTTCGTGATGGGATAAGAGAGATCGGTACACTAGTCTGCCCACGCCATGCCCCTTGCCCTTGCTCTTGCCTCAGCATATCAGAGAGTAACATAACATACGTACGGGTGAAGATAGATACGTGGTGATCTAGTTGATAGGTACGTCAATAGATTACAGTTCTACAAGCGAGCTTTTCCTCCCGGGCCGGAGGGTTGCATTAAAAAATTCTCTTCAGTCTACAGGATCGCTGTGAGATACGTGTGATTATTATATGGGACGGAAACGCCTGAGAATTCCTCCATGTAATGATTTCAAACGTTTTCAGATCGCTTAGAAGCTCGCATAGTTATCAGCACAATCAAAGGCATGCTTTTCATAGAAATCAATTCAATGTCCTCCCCAAACATTAACTCAAATATTTTTTTAATAATTACATTCAAAAAAGGAAATTGGACGATACCTCTGTCTAATCCACCCCTCTCTGAGAAACTATCACTGATATAAAGATAAATGTTATTACTTGCGCTCCTCTCTCCGCGTAGAAATAACTCCTCGCCCGCCCCTGGCCCTTCCACGCCTCCTTGGACGGATAGATAAGAGCTGCAGCGGTGGCCTCGCGGACTCGGCAGCGCAGTAGCTGCCTGTCGCCAGCCGCCGTCGCAGTCGCAGCACCCGGCATGCGTTTGCCCTACGTGCACGAGGCGTACCGCGCCGCCTCCGTCGGTCTGCAGGTGGGCGTGGCCGCGGTGCTTCTGCTTTGGTTGCTGCGTTTCGTCGGTGAGCAAACACATTGTTTCAATGTCATGATTTCCCCTTTAGCAGACCGGGTGTCTCAACTTTGCAAATCTGCCCCATAAGAGCATCAGTTGTGAAGTCCAATTGTAAAAATTCTTAAGTGAATTTTTGCAAATGAGCCGTCGCGGTTTGGCTCATTGTTCGCTTTCCATGACGCGACCCCGGGTTCGATTCCCAATCGGGCAAGATTATAGTGTGCGTTTTCCTTGCGATGTCCCAGTATATGTTGCTATGTGGCGAGAAATCTCGCTTCTGAGATTGAGAGTACGTTGTCTTCGTACTAACCACACGTATCCCTTAATAAATGGCCCGTCTGTCGCGCCAAGTACAGACAGATACTTCTTGTGAGTTAACCACCGTATTGTATTTGCATAAAGCTATATTGTCAAAGAGAAGTTGCAGATCGCCTTCTTAGGAAACAATATTCGGGAAAAATCGTCAAATTTGTACCTTCACCTCTGATAAAACTCTTCAAAAGTTAACATTGTAACTACATGAAATATACGAGTAGAGTACCGGATAAATAGTTTTGTAGTCAAATTAAGAAGTTTAACCCAGCTTCGAATGAAATGTTTTTTGTGGATGACAACATTTCAGTTTTTGTCTTAAGCTATGTCGTGTTGGTGTTTTGTATTATCCATTTTTTTGTGAAGCAGTTTTGATTTAAGCGTGTAGTAGCCCGCTAAAACATAAAATTAATAATATTTTTGTAAAACGTTTGTTTTGGACGCATAAGTATTAAAAAAATATTAAATGCACCTTCATAATGCCTGATGTTGCAATTTCTCAAGCATGGACCGTACAAAATAAGAAAATCTTTGATCGTGTAAATAGTTTTATCATTTTGTTATAACCTATTTGTATTTTGTTCTAGTAATTCAATACATTATTATTTAGTATTTGAAGACATTTACATAAAATAAAACATTAGTACCACACATCTTTAGTAAGTACCGCTCATAAAAAATGACGCAATAATATTACCTTTTGTTATAGAGAGCTCTTTATTAGGACTTTGACAGCTAATACGTGACTACAAATGGCAACATAACTACAGGTTAAACCCATGTGCTCAATTAGTTAATGCATTCGTTTGTTCTTGGCTCACTTCTTCCATGCCATAATAATGATACACTTCTTGAAATCACATCGTCCATCATGACTTTATTGTTTTCCGGCTTATTAAACTTGTTCTTTCTTAGACTACCTTCTCTATATCATCAAAACTAAAATTCGTAACTTAAGAACTCAGCCCCGCGAACGGCGTCCGCTGCGCAGGGCTGTGCACGTGCGCGTGCGCCTGCCCGTGCGGCACGTTCGTGGCGGCGTGCGTGCTGGGCACGCTGGTGGCGCTGCACGTGGGCGCGTGGCTGGAGCCTGCGGCCGGGCGCGGGGTGCTCGTCACGGGCTGCGACTCGGGCTTCGGGCTGGCGCTGGCGCAGCGCCTGCACGCCCTGGGCTGCACCGTCTTCGCCGGCTGCCTGAGCGCGCAGAGCGACGGCGCGCAGCGGCTGAGGCAGCTGGCGCGGGTCCACTTGCTGCAGCTCGACGTCACCAAAGAGGAGCAGGTGCGTCGCAAGCCGAGACTAGCGGGTTGGATTGATTGACTGATTAGTGTTTCGGGGCGTGTCAACGGCTACGGTCTTTAGTCCCATAAGTGCACGTTTTCATCGCGGGAGGAGGCGGTGATTTTTCCCCGCTGCCTGCCGAGATCCGGTAGCGACTTACGTCGGCATTTCCCAACCAGGAATTTCCCACCAACGGGGCACCCCCCTGCCGGGACAAACTTCAAACTTCCGACTAGTCTCCCGACAGGTGTGAAATCGCAGTGAATGTGAGTGTGTGTTTGTAAGGGGTAAGAATTGGCCCATTTGTTAGGGTACTGATCCGGCATTCGCCTGCTGCTGATTGGAGAAACCATAGAAAACTACCGTTCAGAGCAGCCGACAGATAGAATTCTCCTGCAGGCAGCGGCTGAATTCGACCTACCTATCTAGGGTCGAAAATCAGTTGCTGCTCTGAGCCATCTTTGCCGGTCCGAGAATAACGAAGACGTCGAAGAGAACAAAGGCACTGTCGCTCTCGAGCGGCAGTACATTGTTTAGGAGCAAAATGGCTCACGTAATAAAGAGGATGTCTGATACCAATCTTATAACACTGTACTAACGATGGCAAATAATCTCTCATTCATTTTGTTACATAATATACAGTATATAACATTTATATTCGTCCATTCAAAACATTCAATAAAACATCATTGCATATACGTTCAAAAATAATTATATTCCTTTCTTTTACACTCCTAATATTAATTTACCCATTACTGATAATGTCAACATAGCTGATGATGCTGTGATATCATACTATTGCAATTATGCGGGAAAAACATATTATTTCCTTCCAGCTTTGCTATTTGCTCTGCTATTTGCTGCAGCTTTGCTATTTGTCCTTTTAGTGAATGAGGTCACTGTAGGAAAACAGAATCAGAAACATTTACGAGCGATCTTTAGCGAGGGATGTTGCGATACTTAATTCGATATTCGGTACCGATCTCATTTACAGAACAGACAATGGCCACGAGTCGATACTATCTAATCTCAAAAACGAACATTTCAAATATCGAGCAGGATCAACGTGGATTTAAAATAGAAGACACAATAGCATTTTACTACATATTAAAAGATTTTTCAATATGGATTAACAAATTATATATTGTTTCAATTCACTGCTATTTTCCATCAGCGTTTCTTATTTTCTCTTTGAAATAATATAAGGATTTCATTAATAAAAAACTGTACTTCAGAATAGTAATGTGAAGAGATGACGAAAGTAATCAAAATGGTAGTGTGAATAGAATTCCAATGTCACTAATGGCTTCTTATCTTCTTTTACAAAAAAACTTAAATTTCTCTTAAGAGGAATCTTAACGTTCCCATTTAGATAGGAGTACATGCTAAACAATTAATGACCCTATGCCAAGAGAGAAACTGAACTAAATAATTCAATGAGATATCTGTGAATTTAATACCATGCTCATAAAACACGTGTTCTTCGTCAAATAATAATAATAATAATAATAATAATAATAATAATAATAATAATAATAATAATAATAATAATACGCACAAAATCTCCGTAGCAAGAATGCAGAATGAATGAGAATTTTGAAGATACTTGTTCCATATACTGGGCGCAAGAATAAGTGTGGTTAATGAATGTTAATTACACTTTGTGTGAACAGTATCATGAAGCTCCTCTACAAAATCAGTAGGAGAAAGTTCATTTTTTTGTTTGTAGTTGGAGGCGGCCCGTCTGTACATTGAGGAGCACCTGCCACTCAAAGGTGAGTAAAGATAGACCGTCTCCAAAAAGAAGCCCGTTTTTCACTGTCGTTCAGTAATTAAATAAGCTACACAAAAATAAACTGTCGAAAAGTACGAAAAGGATACTACCTCAAGAACATGATTTTCAAATTTACAAACTATACGATTTATTTGCCTATTTATTCGCAAATGATACGATTTATTTGCGTACATTATCTCCGGTTTTGTCTAGATCCTTATCATTCCGGTTTATCCCCTTTAAAAATGATTATCTGCCCATGTTCTTACCTAATGCATACAGCTCTGGGGCAACAGAAGCAAATACAATAACCTAATTATCCAAAGATTTCAGTCTAAAGTATTAATTAACATTGTTAGTGCCCCTTGACATGTTGGAAAAGATATTATTTATAGTCAACAGTTAATGAAAAAATAAAAAAATATATCCTTATAAATACGTCAAAAATTACAAAACTATACCAATACTTAAGCCTTGAATTTGTTAGAAAACAGTGGTTTAAAATACCAATAAATATGTGGTTTAAAATATCATAACAAAGTTACACACATTAAATTTTTACCCCTGATTGGTAGGTAATTCAACGTGAACTTGCGATTGGCAAGTACTCGTTCTGTCGCTGTGAAAGATTTTATATACCGCCAATCACCTTGTAATTCAATATAAAGACAAATGTTTGTATTAATGTTTGACATAAATTATGTTGTCAGAAGGTAGTTGTTATAAATGGAAATATTATACATCTGCTGCAGTGTGTTTAAAATATTCTGGTTATTAGTATAAAAACTGAAGAAAATACATTGGATCATTTTTTTAAGAAAAAACACAACATAAAAATAGTTGATTTAATATTGGCATTATATGACTCATTAAACCCCTTTAAGAGATAAGGCAATAAGTAATAAGATACCAACAGGCAAAGGACGATAAAAGAAAGTTGTCGAAATTTCCGACTAGTTTTTTATCTAGTCAACTGTTTTCTCAGTTCAGGTAATCGTCATTTAATTTTACAGTTCGTTTTGTTGTGAACTGCTGGGAAGTTAGAAATAAAAAGTTATTTATCGCGTTCGAAACGTCTTATTTGAAAAGCATATGGTACAAACCCTGTTTTTAGAAAAATTAATTAATCAAATGTTCTGTAGGATAGTTACGGTACATTTCCTCCATCAGAAGTAGAACCAAGATGTGAAAAATGTGAGGGTTCTTTGTAAACAAATATATTTAATTCTTTTGAAAATAATAAACAATTTACATGTTTTTAGAGCATTTATAGGTTTCTGAAATTCAAATTTGTGCACATAAAGTATTTTTTCAAACGAACTTTTGAGTGCTTATTGTGGCTCAGACATTTGAAATATCGAAGGAGATTATTAGACAACATATTATTAAAATTGACTTAAAACTTGTATTCAAAGTTTCGTTTTCCCCCCGGACAACATTTATATTTCCATTTCAAATAAAAATTGTTTATATTAAGCGGAAGCAAACATTTCTTGTTATCAAATATTGGGAACAGCGCTCGTTCCTTTTTTATCCTCGATTCAAATTCATATGTTAAAGAGGGATGCCGGACTCAAGAAAATAAACTTTTGTACTGGGGCAGAACGTGAGTAATTTCCGCGCTTAGGAATGCGTAATAATAAATAGAAAAAGGCGAAGTACGAGTATCAAAGAATAAACTGTATAATAAGTGTACGAAGTGACAGCCAATGGCGCGAAGCGGGTGTGCTCGACAATTGAACGTAATATGCATACTTAGCGAAGAGAGACGTAATTGAAGATCTGTCGATCAGTAAGAGAGTGTTGAACGGTGGTCAATATGATTTGTAGGGGGGACCGTACTCGGCCATGGTGGGCTTCGGACGTAGAATCGATCGCACAGTTGGTGTTCTTTTAGGTATGTACGTAAGCTTCCGCGGCTCGAATCCATGAATTCTCGGCTATCCGGGAGACGCCGCGTCGTTGGCTGGGGTGTCAACGACACGGCGTTGTGGCACCCCAGCCAATGACGCGGCGTCTCCCGGTTAGCCGAGAATTCACGTTCTTTTAGGTATTTTTTCGGAATAATTCATTGTCGTTGTTGAATTAGTAAAAAGAGGATCGAAATGTGTGTCTAAGTACGCGAACAATTAACTAATTAAGACAATAGATTTTTAAATACGGTAATTTCAGATAATCCGATGTAAAATATAACTTGGAATTCGGCCGAAACAACAAGATGGCGCGGAGTTTTATGCACCTAGAAGGCAACCTAACACGTATTTCATCCGCCAAGAATGCAGTGGGAAACCAAAAGGAAAGTGTACAAACTAAATAACTCATGTAATAAGACGAAGTTGTGTTAAATTTAGAATATTCATGAGAGAATCGGATGAGGCACTTCAATGACAAAGTAATACTCGTTGATTTCGAAATTGGGTAATGAATAATTGTTAAAGCAAATAATTCGGAACGACTAACTGTTTTATTCAAGTAATTCAAAACCGTTAAGAACAAACATACGAAAAATTTCATATCTTGAAATCCCGAATGGGCATTTCTGTCGACTCACGTATTATAAATTTTTCTTAGACCCATGAGCGATTCCACCCTGAAAACTGAATGTGACTAATGATAAATTGAGAAATAATAAAATAATGAGTCAGGCTGGGGCAGATGAAAACAAATAGCTTGATTTTTTAAATAAATTAGTAAAATTTTGAAAAAAAAGGAATCGCGGCTCACATTACCTAACAAATCACATTTTTTTATATAACACTAACGCTGTTAATTTTTTTTAAACAACAATTTCTTAAAATACAAGCTTGTAAACAAATTGGATTCAAAACAAAGCTCATTAATGGGTAAACATATTGGAAGAGATTAAAAAATGACGTTAAAACTTTGTATAAAATAAATTTTAAAGTTATACTTTTCATTTTATGCTTTTTAAGGTTGTAACAGACGCTGGATTGTTTTCGCAGGACTGTGGAGCGTGGTGAACAACGCGGGTCTGTTCGCGAGTGGCCTGGCAGAGTGGACGTCTCCAGAAGACGCACTGCGCCTGTTCGGCGTGAACACCCTGGGCACGCTGCGCACCGCCACGGCCTTCCTGCCGCTGCTGCGCCGCTCCAAAGGTGTGGAGTGCCTGCTCCGCCAGGGGGGGGGGGGTATCTACACGGAATATTCTAACGCGAACAAACGAGAGCAGTCGAAACTTAAGGTTTTCGAAGGAATTCAAAAATGGGCTTATATCGCATCAAATATCAGATTACGATCCCAAACAAAATATATCAAAACATAAAATCATATGATCAATAATTATTAATCCCTTGCTAAACTGTTACCATTTAGATTAGGGTGATAACCTGCGACGGATTGCAAGTTTAAATTAATAGTTGCGGTGATGTCATCTGAGAAATGAGGTTTCGCATAATTTACAAAACATTCATGAAATAGTGAAATTAAAGTTCAAGGAAAATTAGTACATCACAAAGATATGAAATTTTCATCTTTCAAGATATTAAACATTTAACGTGAATACTCGAACTTTTCATTTTTTTCGAAAACTTAAGAGCCCCAGTGTACTCTGATGTTTCTCGAAGCGATACATGATTGGAAGATAGAATGTAAATAAATAATTAATACGAATGGCCTTCTGCAGCTAAAATGCTGCTATCAAGTTTGTGGAAACAAAGGATCATGGAGCAGCAAAAATTGAAATTGAGTTATTAAACAACACACGCAAATAGTAAAGCTTCTTTATTTCTCATAGCAAGACGTAATCAGAGACGCGCGGAGTATGAGAATATAACTGTAACGTCATGACAAATTGTGGATTAATAGAAAATATTTCAGAATATTTTTCAGTCAAAATCGAAACTATTTCATTGTTTCAGTACTTTTCTAGAGATCCTGGGTATCTAAAGAAACCTTTGACACCTCTTACATAAACAAATTCTGCTTAGTTTTCCGCCCATTTGCACTTATACTCTAACTAATAATTCAGATTTCCCCCCCAGTGTTCTTGAGTATCTACCTAAACCATAAATACATCTCGCATGGACGGAGGATACATAGTTTTCTTCGAATGACTTAGAGTATATAATGATATATACCATTAATTCTCATCTCAAAACCAGAATAAAGTTCCTGGGATATCCACTCAATTTTTCAAAACACACTATGTTACCGTCTTTCCTTGATTATAATAATTATTTCAATCAAGATCGCAAACGGATTTACTGTATCAAAAACGCAATCATTAATATATTATGCATTCACGAAACCAATGAAAATTTGAGCAACGAAACAAAAATTATGCAAAACATATAATAAAATTTTATACTTTCCACTAGTTACAAACATAACTTTATGTAGGCTAAGAAATTCATAAAGTTTTGAGGTGAAAAATTCAATCAGTATTTACCACGTGTTTTGAAATAATAGATACTGCACAGTTACCTCAGAACCTCGCAAGCATGAGCCATGATCGGGGCGTCTTGGATCCCTCTTGAACCAAAGAAGCTGACAAGAGCTCTGGACATCGCATTTGCCCCGGCAGCTAATAACGCCCCGGCAGGCAGTAGCAGAGCAGGAAGAATTCGAATCGCCGACTTGCCGCAGCTGAATTTCTTCCGTTACTTCTCAGGCCAATACACCCACGAATCTTTACTTGGTTCTTGCGATCATCCGTCTTAAAATAAAAACATGACATTTTTAGACCGCTTTTAGTTTTATAATTTTTAAGTTAAATGGTTGATGTTGCTATTTTTATTCACGATTTTCATTTAATGTTGTCTTTCTCTGGTATAATTTAATGTTATCTTTTCCTGTCAATCGTGCATTCTGCTTCGTTTGATTAAAGTGAAAACCAAGTTGCAAGAAACCTTATTGACAAAACACCCCGTCCGTTTTCGCAGGTCGCATTGTGAACATCAGCAGCGTGTCCGGACGGCAGGTGTGCCCTCTGTTCTCCGTGTACAGCATGAGCAAGTACGCGCTGGAGGCGCTCTCGGACGGGCTGCGCTTCGAGCAGCGCCGCTTTGGCGTGCACGTCGCCGTCGTCGAGCCGGGCAACTTCGCCGCTTGTGAGTACGCCTGAATGGGGTTTTCAAATTGATATAAACCACATCAATCGATTTATAATTGAAATAGACCACCAATTTCATTTTGCTACAGAATGAATCTTGAATGTGCTTACAATGACTCTAAAAAGAATGAATGCGAATGACCAGCAACTTCATTGGTAGTTCGAACACAAGGAATGAGATGGATCACACTTATGGGGTAAACTTTGGACTGATAGATGAAATGCAAAAGCATCAGCCAATATGTAATAAACCAAATTTCGTACAAAATTGGAAATTTTGCTGTTATTTATGTCTCTGGTCAACATTTGGAACCTTATGCACGAGGAACTAGAAGTAACAGTTTTTTGTATTTATTTGTTTTTGCAAAGACCACAATATTTCATTAACGTCGATCATATGGGAGGAAATATAAGAAAAGTAATTTAGAAGATGGTCATTTTTTGTGCTTCGAATCCAGAAAGTTGTAAGTATTAATGTAAATGACATTGCAATAAACACTAATTTTTAGCAACACGGGGCTCACCAAGCAGAATGTGCTATCTGTTGCACAATAAATTAACGTGTTAGCTACTAGTCATGGTGAGGGAGACGGCACTTCATTAATGTTGGGGTAGGGAGAAACAAATAAAGAGTAAACAGTAAAGAAATAAAGAGGAAATATAAGACGAAGGTGCTTGGTTGTGGCATGAAGGCAAAAATAATATTTAAAATTAAGTAAAATACTATTTTTATTTTATTTTTCTTGGAAAAACAACGACATAACCGATATGATCTAATGGGACTTGCGTTTATGTATGTATGTATGAGATTGTGTGAGAGTGAAAGGAAATAGAAAGAAAGGAAGATTTTTTGGATGTACTTCATGGTACTACACGGAGCCTTGCCCGCCATCCCTTGGGAGGCAGAGCGAAAGGGCGCTCTGCTACAACGGGGCATGTTTTTCTGCGCAGCGACGCGCATCCTGCAGACCGCAGGGCTGCGCGAGTCGTTCGCAGCCGGATGGCAGCGCCTGCGCCCGGAGGCACGCGCAGCCTATGGACCGAACTTCGCCGACACCGCCCTGCGAGACCTTCTGCGCGCGCAGGCATCACCCACTGCGCACGTGAGTATTATAGCTGCGCCTGTTTGCTTGGGGAATAATATTGGTACGAGGCTAGTGTCGCCAAGTTGATATCGATGATGTTCGAGTAACACAAATTGGGTCATTTTTCTGAAAATGAGATTTTTGTTTTTGAAGAAGTTATTCATGACAAAATCCATAAATGATGAATTCACTTTTAAAATGTAGTGAATTCAATACTTTAAATGTTAACTTATTTACATTGCTGGCAAAATATATTTTCCACTTTTCTACAAATACACTTTTAGGAAGCGATGACTTAGTATTTTTTACTTTAAAGAGGAGCAAAAGTTCAGAAGATATCTCGGGGGGGAGGGGGTTGTTTAGCGTTTTCTGTCTGTTCTATTATTACTGATATTAATATAAGGGTTATAAGGTAATGTATTCAATTGAATTAACCAAAGTTTAGACTGAATCTCAAAGAGTCGATACTTTACCAAGGTTGTATGAAATATCTACGTATTATTGCCAGGTGGAAGATATTCCAAGATTATTTTTGCCCGACATGTTATTTTTCTCTTTCCCTAGTTTTAATTTTATTTTGCTTTCTATTACAAACCTACAATTCTGTTTCGTGATTTCTGCCTATTGCAATAAGCCAAGGTTGCTCGAATCCCAGAATTCGGACCAACCGCCAGCGGCAGCCCATTGCAGTGACCCGCGTACGTGGAAAGTAGCAGTTGGGAGGCTTTTGTGTTCGTGCTTTCGCAACGTGGTTCTGTGCTCAGTCGCAGGACACGGGCCCGGTGGAGGCGGCCGTGGCGCACGCCGTGTTGGGGAAGTGGCCATCGGCGCGCTACCACCCGTCCGACGTGCCTTTCCTGCTGCGCACCTGGATCAACACGCACGCGCCCGAATGGCTGTACGAGGCGCTCTACACTTAGCACTCAGCTCACTGTCTCACACGGGGATCAAGAGAAAGGGGCAGGTGGTTTTGTGATGTTATTTCTGTTTCCAGTTCACTTGAATTACAAGTCAAGTACCACACCTCGGCTAAACCTGATTTTTCCTTTTGGTCTTTCCGCCTTCTCCTTTCTTCCTTTTATTTATTTCTATTTCTTTCTAGCCTTCCAGACTTTTTATCGTTCTTAGTTTTTCTCTCGTCTTCAAAAAAAATATGTTTCTTTATGGTTCGAAAATGAACTGTTTTTGTTTTTATTTCCCAAGAAAAATAAACACTTTTGATAAAGATACCATTTTATGATTTCTATAATTCTAAATACTAGCAAAACTTCATTTTTCTTGTAATGGTGCTGTTGTCTTAAAAATACAAAATTTAATGAAAAAAATCTTTGGTCACAATTTATATGGGCTCAGTCATATTCTTATTCTGATGACATAATGTGGCGATCTTTATGAGATGTTTGCAACAGACGACCCGAGTCTTCGACTTACCATGCAATAGAGAAATTATCGTGATTTCGGTGATATAATTACGGTATAATTGGTTTTGTGCTCAATGACACCCCTCAATAATTATATTCCCTTCACATCTCTTCCCACATAGTTACAAGAAAGAAACACCCACCCCTCACACCAAATTCGAATCCAAAATCGTAGGATTAAGAAGTATTCTCCGAAATCATTTTTTCTAATTTGAACTACCAGCAACAAGTGGGAAAATTTCAAATAAATTAATATTTTTCAATGTATCTAAGAAAATTTGAAGCAAAAAAGGTGGGTAAACTGACCTTTTATCTGAAATTCAGTATTATTCTTTTTTCCTTTTTTACCAAAATAATTTATACAATACATGCAACAATGAACTTCACTAGAAGACTCTTCTGTCTTCTCAATTATGCAACCATTGTAAGGACTTGTTTCGTCCACCCACGAATGTTTCATGTTTGATATGTGCCTGACCTTACGCTAGAGTAAATATAATGCCATTACGCAGTGTACATCAAGAATACATATAATCGACCACCGGGCTCCAAGCATGAATTGTGGGTATGTAAAACCATCAATCATAAATACAGAACATTATTTAAATGATATCCCCCATCGGCAAGATATATATTTAGCCTATAAATAACATTTACGAAACAAATTTCACTAATAGGCCATGGTCCTTCCCCTAAACATATCGGCGATGTTCGTTCTGGAAAACTCAAAGACAACTCTGTTTCTGTAATGGTTAAGTTCTCTACTTCTCCGCTCTCACCTCCTCTGCCATTTACCTCCTGCTCTAAGCGAACATACTAAGGAGATTAGTTAATAATTACTGGAATTTTCTTCTGATTGCTGTTTCTTGAAAAAATAAAGGCTACATAAAAGAAATGCAACCTTTTATATTTTTTTCTAATTATTATGTTGAAGTCTATTATGTTGGTAAGTTAAGCAAATGCCGATAAAAACACGATTTCATGTGAGTTCTCATTAACGAGTATTTTGAATATAAATGCACAAAAAAGAGATTAAATAGTCTCAATGCTCTAGTTGAGCCAGTCTGATAATAGGTCGAATCTTTCTGGAGATAAACACCCGGATTAATACTACAGGCCGAGTAACGCACGAACAACTAGTAATACGAAAGGAGTTTTGACTCCACTGAGGGCTGCCACGTCAATACCTCTTTTCCTTAGTAATTAGTTGAGTAGCATGAGTCTCGAGTTGAACCGGTTGTTATAGTGCCAATAAAGCAAGCTTTTAAACTACGGCTAACTTAAATTCTCTCAAAATGTAGAATAGTAATGGAATGAAAAATTAAGTTTTGTAAATTTCTATAAGTTCAGGTCTTTTGATAATTCCAATATATTGAAAACTTCTAGTGTAAAATACTCTCGTATCTCTCCAGAAGTTAAATAATCCGAGATAACATTCAATTCGACCTGTACTAAACTCACATGATAAGATAAAAAACTTAGCAGTCATGTAATGTCACAAAGAGCAGGGCCAAACTGGGACTTATATTATACTAACTATGGGCTCGGGCGGTAAATAATTGGAAATTCGCGCTTATCGTGCATTTAGTTATTCAACAGCATACATGGTTATGGATTTGGTCTGTTTCGTTCAATTTATTATGTGATAATGCTCACACTGTCTTTCACATTCATAGATATTCCCTTCTCATTTAGTTCGTGAAAACTAAGATATCCGATGATGGAACCCGAGCGCCGCCAGACGCCTAATACCTCGTCTTTGCTTGCATTTTGCCTCTGTCCATTCATTATTTAACATCGCATCCGTGCAATAGAATTCTTGATGCCTCTTACACCATTCATTCAACTCTACTCTTAGCGCATATGTGCTGAGCAGCTGTAATTTAAGTCTTAAATCTTTCAGTAGATATGTTTCTATTTAACAATACAAACCACTTATACTTGCCAATTCCTATTGCTCTTTGTACGAATATTGCCTTTAGATTTTCTTCTTCTTCCTTTAGACTTCTGACTGGTGCCATTAAAATCTCCTTTAGATGATACCATGAAAGTTGTGCCTGTGGTTTGTATGGTAATTTCTACATTTTCAGGTGACTTCTATGTTCTTCATCTGACTCTGTTGCACAGTATTAAATCATTGTTTTTTATTCTTTTGTCTTCCGAAACTATTGTCATTTCTGTTTTACTTGTATTTATCTGCAGTTCATTCGCAGTTGCTCATTTACATAGACCATCAACTGCCTTATGTATTTCTTCGCAGCCTCTTGAAACTAATGCTTCAGTATCTGCACATCTAAGAATTTAAAACTTCTGCCTCTTTTTTACTTTAATACTTACTACATGCGTAGTAGAGAGAATATTATTTAATGCTGCAGAAATTTAGTACTTTGAATATCTGATAGTGGATATTTCTGGTTCTTTAAGGAAATGAATTACTTTCTCTAACACGTTGGGTACTTAGTATTCACATTTTAAGGGTTCTTGATACCGAAAACTTGGTTGGAAAACGACAAAATATCTGTCCGTTCGCTAGTCTGTTCGTCTGTGTCTGTCGACTGTGACTGTGAACAAGGCCATTGGCTAAACAGTAAGCAGTTATCTCCCAAACTGATATTTATCAATCGATATGACAATGCCGTGGCACATTGAATTTGAAATTTATATTTTAACTTTTGGGGCTTCTTCACATGTAACCTAATGGGCATTTTCATTCTTATCTCATAATAGTCTCCAATTTTTTAATTATTTTTATCTGAATAAGAAAAGTACGCGGATAAAAATGGTGCATTATCAATTTTAGTTGAATTCTGTATTCTTGAAAATTGGAAAAGTTTAAAAAAATCGGTGTCTTTCGACAACGCAATTGAAGATAGATTTTTCATCTGAATGAAATCTCTTCTTCATACTTAGATCTTTCAATAAGGTCATGTTCAATATTTTCAAAATATGAGTAGTTCTCGTGTAAGTTTAAGTGAAATAAAGTACAAACAAAATTTTCCCAGAAACTGCTACGAAATTTTTCTTCAAACTTGTGTACTGCAAGTGCTAAAATTCACGAAAAAATATGAGGTATAAATCATTTTGATGTATTTATTACTTTTGCAAAACTCACTAAAATGTGTTTTTTATGCATTTCACACATCGTTAATATTGACATTAGGGGCTTTTTTTTAATAAATTATTGCATTAAGAATTCAAGTGATTCAAATGATGTCTGATAAAGTTTCTCAAAACCTCATTTTTTTTAAATATGAGCATCAAATTTCGAAGTTTTAGAAATACTCAAGTGACATTTTTTCGAGAATGGCTCAAAATTTTTCTATATATAAAGAAATATATATTACCACACATTAATGTTTTGCAAAATAGTTAAAGTCACATTGTAATTTTACTAATAGTGGATCGATAAACTAAGAAAATGGGAAACCAATATATCTTTTAGGCGCCGGTAGGTAACTGCTGGGAAGAGGGTGGGGCAATACCGAAAAGCTAGCCAAGAGTAAAAAGTGCAAGACAATATGTGATATTCATTAGTTTACAACAATCGTTCCATCATAAATTAGTATAATACTTAAATAATGACGTATTTAGCGAATATTCTTTGTAGATCTGTAGGTTGTTCAACCTCCCCTGAGATTATTTGATTCATCGATTTGGATGCCATTTTTTGCTACGATATTATTAATTAGTCTTGATAACCAGTCATGGTCTGAAGAATCAATCAGCTTGTCTGCCTCTTCACATTATTAAATGATTTGCAGATGGCAACAAGAACTATGTATAATTTCTTGTGCTGTTTATTTGTACCGTCATTTAGGTTGTTTATTAGGCGTCCAACTACTATTTGTATTTACCTTTAATTTATAAATTCAAATTGTTAATATGCAAGTAAATGGCCGTTGTAGTTAATGTTTCTGATATACTTCCTGATAAAAAAACTCCTTAAAATTCTGAATAATGATTTTCCTTGGATTATACTTTGGTGATGGCTTCAGGTGATGATGTGTCTCCTTTGCCTTTGTAAGGTTGTTTCAAGTTCCCATACGCCATTTAGCTGGTGTTTCTCCACCCTACGCTGAATACTTTTAGGATATTTTCATTTTTAATTCCATGCGGATCCTAACATATTTTTTTCGTATTTCATCACTGGTTGAAGAAGAGATAAATACGCACTTTTGGCAATTCACATACTTTTCAGTACCTGCATGACGAAGTACAGTTATCTCCATGCATTTCTGCGAGAAAATTTACGTGATTTCTCCAGTTTAATTTACAGTATAAATTGAGTTTTAAACAGATACAAAAGGAAAATCTCGCAAAGAAGTTGTTACATAAATGTTGTCGTTATGCCGTAATTTCGGGCAAGGTGAAAGTGACACAATTACTTTCAGTATTATGTGGGCATATGCCTTTTGTTACCTCCTAGTAATGTAAGGCGTCTTGATTCCGTTGCAATATATTTTTTTATAGATTTGCCCACACGATATGTTAAGCGATCGTCTGCAAATAACCATAACTCAAAGTGTGCTGGCACGTCATTCTCGATCGTTAGAATTAGTAAAGATCCATATAACACATTTCTATGGGGTCCCTGACAATGCTTTCTACGTAATATAACTATTGTTGAATTCGGACTTTTTTACCTCATAGAAACTAGCTCTCTAATACTGGAGTGAAAACATGAATTAAACAATTTCTGATCAATTCATAATGAAAGATTAAACTTTTTGGCATCATTTAAGAGAATTGCAGGATTAATGCTACAATGTCTCTGTGGCATAGAGGGATCGAAGATAATCATTTCTCAGTGGGAAATTCCATTTTTTTTGTTATTTAAGGTCGCATCAACTACTAGGTCATTAGCGACCACTATTGCGTGTAACGGAATGGTAACTATGAGGATGACACGATTTGGTGATGATAGGGGTGTGAAAGGACGAACACAATATAACCATGCCCGAGGCGGGACTCCAACCCGCGATCCTTCGGTCCTCCGCCATCCGGACCGGTGGAAATTCCATTTGACGAAGTTACGCACGTGAAAAATCCGTCATTGCGGCCCTGATCGGCAGGCAACTCCTTCGCCCCTTGCTACCACCCCGAGCTGCCCCTTTCGTTCCCCGCGACCACAAGGCTTGTGACGAGTTTTCTTTTTTGCTGCGGCGTGGATTCAATCTTGCGACAATGGTTGTTGCGATTGTTTGGTCGTTGTTCCAATCAGCCAACTCAGAGAATTATACGTTAGCGGAGTATGGACATGAGCTGCTTGAGTCCGGGACGGCTAAGAGCAATGGCAAGCTGCTCGATTCGAGCTGCACTGAGCCTTTTCCTTGCCGGCGCATCCCAGCGCACACACCGTGAGGACGCACGGGGTGCCCAGCGGATCTGTAACAGGCGTAGTATGGGGCACATCGGACGGTCTTCACTCATCTACTTGAGGCGGAGGTTTTAAGGCAGATAAGATGTTTTACAATAACTGCAATTGAGTACAACTCGATGATAATCATTTACAAAGTAAATGAATTTCGAAAAAATATTAATAATAACAATAATAATGATAATAATAATAATAATAATAATAATAATAATAATAATAATAATAATAAAAATAATAATATAAACTTAATATTACACTCGACAGTACTACACCACACGGTAATATTCAGTACAGCATACCGTTGAAGTTAATTCACTGTTCTATGTTTCAACATCATTAGACGCCTTCACAACCCTTCACTCAACTGCTCGACACTAGTTTTAACACACTACTAGTAACATCCTAACGATTATTGTTTGCAATTCTTCTTAGCGATTCCTACGATTCTGCGCCACTGTGAGACAGGACCATCTCCCAGCAGGAGGGTAATCGCTCTCGACATGCAAGT